ATACCAAGGAAAAACCCACAGGAGGCTAACGGGAGATGGGGCTTTACTCTGGGAAGGTTTGGCAGGAGGTTGCTGCTTTCTGTAACTGTCTCAGAAATACAAGTGGGGAATTCAAAGAACAAGACTGATGAACAAAGAAGGCAACAGAGTGGAACCAGTAACAGCCCCAGGGAAAACCAGAAGAGACTGGGAAGAGCTTACAAAGTGCTCATCAAATTTACATGCTAATAGTAATGCTAACATTGTACATGATTAACTCCTCACTTGACTGAATCCTGTCAGGATGAAAATGTATAGATTTATAGTTACACTTCTGTCATCTGACACTCAGGGGACAGACAGGTTCTTTTTAGGGATCCTTGGCAGAATGGTGATGGCACTAAGTTATAGTTACAATTAAAGCTTTTTTTTTTTTTTTTTTCCCTTAAGATACCATGATCAGTATAGCACAGAATTCATTATTAGAATGGTACAGGATTTCTCCAAGCAGAATCAATGTAGTACAGTCTAAATAGCATAATGCAAAATCTGTAAGACAACTTAATTTATAATTTCTGATCACCTGGGCCTTCTGAAGATCAGATCTTAATACATGGCTTGTTATATCAACATAACAATCATAAGCTAGACTCACATCATACAAAAGAATGAGTCACTCCCTCAGTCATTGGAGGAACCAGATAATGGTGGATGTCCCCAGCAGGTCCTGTCCATGTCCCTGTCCAGCAACAGTTCTGGTCCATGTTGCCCGTTAGCACTTGTAACTGCTTGGTTTTAGAGACCGTGCTCTGGTCCTTGTTCTGTATCAGGGTCATCAACACCAGGCTGGCCAAGTGCCTGGGACCATCAAGGCCAGGAAGGATGGGAGTAATCGGCCTCGCGCCCGGGAACCTTGAGGCTGGTAGGAAGGGGAAGGAAAAATCTGTTTGCTTTGTCTACTTGGTGCACAGGACCTTCAGGACCCCATAATGAGGGGAAAGGAAATTAATACATGACATGGTTGACCCCAGATGGTGGCTGCTTCCCTTATAAAATGGCATTAGTTACACTAATGTTAGTTATGCTAACCACATTGAGTAGGGTTTGGGAGCAGGGGGTACTGGTCACAGTTCCTTTAAGAATCAATTAAAAGATTAACTTCTTTTAACCAAATATTAACAATCCAGTTATTCTTCACTGTCTTTGTTGGTTCAGTTTCTATCTTGGTTATTGCTCAACCAAGAGAAAGCAGAATTTTTTTGAGTAATGACAAAGTGGATGTGTCAACTTGTGTTCTCCATGGTGGAATTTTCACACCTCTATTATTGCCTTCAGTGAACAGAGCTGCTTGCTTCTTCAGCTTTCATTTCCCTGACAGACAGATAAAGCTTGTCTATCGTGTACTGTAAGGTTTCTGAGCAGTTGCAGCCAGGATGTTAAATCTGACAAATGTCATACCACTGCACTGCAGTGTTTGTTGTGTACTTGACCCTTTAAATAGACCAGAATACCCTGCAAAGTCAAATGTGAATGAATGAGACAAAGACTTTGTGTAGCTCTGAAGCATTTGCCTCTTGTTACTACATGAAACTGCTAGGCAATCTGCTTTGCTAAGCTGAGTTCATGATATCTGTGATTACATGCTGCATACTGAATTTGGTAAAGAGTTAACTGGGAAAAGCAGCTTGCTTGCTAACACTCTGAAATACAGTATGAAGCTTTTGATAGAAGTTTTAGAGAGAATCAACTTGGAGTTAAGATTTTGACTGCAGAATTTTCAGACTCCTATGGTCTTTGGGATGCCATGGCAAGGAAACACTGCTGCCTTCAGACCCATGGCGGTCGTTCAAAGGTAACTCCTAGTGTCATCTCCCCACTATGAGAGTCTGCAGAGATGGTTCACTAAAACAAAATCAGCAGGCTGGTGTTTCAGATCAGTTACCAATGCTGAATCAGGGGCTTTACATTTTTTACCACTCACTATAAACAAAGAAAACTGAATACTGAGAAGTATTTACACCAAGAAAAACAAATGAATTGTTGTGCCTCAGAGAAACATGAAGTACGTGGAGTGAAGCATGCTGTTAATATTGCATAATCAAGTTGTCTGGCCTTTTTTGACAGTGATTTTTTCCAGTGAGTAAAGCTTTTTCTTTGCATAGATTTCCCCCCCTCTGCTCCCAGTTTGCTAACTCTAAGTTTTCCTCAGGGTGTCTGAATCATAGCTTACAAAATACTGCTGGGTGTTCCCTGCAGGGCCCTCACAAAGTCACAAAAAGCTTCAATTCCAAGTTCACTGCCTTAGCATAATGTTATGCTATAGAAAGGGTTCTTAATGCAGTAAATGGCATCTGAAAGATGACCATCTCTGTACTTTTGTGGGATATGTGGTGATGACTATCTGACAATTGCTTGGAATTCTACAGCAAAAGGACGGAAGAAATTTTACATTTTGCTGTCTTAACATCTCCCTGCATAACACATTTTCAGGCAAGTTAAGGATTAGTCAGTTTATTTCCTATATATATACTCAATGCTTATTGACATGCAAGACAAAATACAAAGCAGATACAGAAGGTTCATCATTTAGAACAAGTATTTTCCTGTAATACAAATAATACAGAAAAAGCAAATTCTGGTACTTATACATGCTTGTATAGCATGTCTATACACAAGGTGTCTTAAAAAATAATCAGAAATAGGTCAGGTTATGATGTTTCCAGAAAAGATGGTTTGCATTACTTTTGCATTGCTTTTCAACAAACATGGAAAGCTGACATTTGTTTTTACAAAGGCCATTAAATCTCAGTATTTATAATAAGCAATTTTACAATAACGGCCACTTCATGTTACTTTAAAATTACTTGCAGTAGGACACATTTTTCTAGATTTTCATTATGAAACAATTTCCCTTACCTTGCTTTCAAGGCATATTGGATTTACCATTTCTTTCATCTGATTTAATCATGCATGACACAGTAAAACTGGTGTAGAACCCTACATAAAAAATCCAAGTGTCAAAGCCTGGGAGAGAGAGAATACTCACTTAAATGCAGCAAGGATTTCACCAGCATCTGCAGGGTCAACTACATTTTCCTGCTTCGCCTCCCTTAGGTTCATTACATTTCAGTTTTCAGCTTCATGAAAGAAATGGATCTCTGACCTGGCTCTTGCACAACATTTCAGAGGTTAATTCTGACTCAATTTACACCTTCTATACAGCACAGATGTTTCAGTAGAGTCATAGAGAAATTTGGCCAGAAATTCAGGTTTAATCCATGTAGGTTTGGATTTTTTTTTTCTCCTTACATTTTCCCCTTTTGTGTATTTAGTCACTTTGAAATAATAAAGTTTATGTTTTGAATTAATTATTTTTCTGGCTCTGAGTCAGAAGAACTCAGCTGGATTATTCCCCAGCCTTCCAGTATCCTTGGTCAGGATCACAGTGCACATACTTCAAACAGTATTGATTTCCTCTGTGTATGGAATATTTTCAAATAGAAACATTACATAGAGCAGGGAAGAAAGGCAGGAGCTAGGGGTGCATGGATATGACTGGATGCTAGACCTCTAGTGGACACAATGGAGAATTGCTTATGAAAACATGGGAATTCTGTATAAGAAAGAGGTCTGTATGCACAGTCAGGGAAAAAGCTTCCGAGAAATTTTTTTCAAAAGTTTATCTATTATTTGTCGAAAACTATCACATGTCTCATCACTTACTGCAGGGGACTCAGAAAATCAGTGCACATTGCCTAATGTTTAAACTAATCTCAAAATCATAACTGCTGTTCTACTTGAACAGCTATGCTGGGACATCCTGCCAAACAAGGGGATGAGAAGCCGGGTAGCAGCCCTGCAAAGAGAGTTCTGTGGGTTTGCATTGATGGCAAGTGGAATGTAAGTCAACAGTGTGCCCTGGCAGCCTAAAGGGCCAACCATGTCCTGGGGTGCATCAAGCACAGTATAGCTGGCTGGTTAAGGGAGGCGATGGTCCCACTCTATGCTGCACTGGTGTGGCCCCAACTTGAGTACAGTGTGCAGTTTTGGATACCTCAGTATAAGAACGACATCAAACCATTAGAGTGTGGCCAGATGAGAGTGACCAAGATGGTGAAAGGCCTTGAGGGCAAGACTTCTGAGAAGCAGCTGATGTTACTTGGTTTGCTCAGCTTGGAGAAGACTGAGGGATGACTTCATCACAGCCTACAACTGCCTCAAGGAAGGGCAGCAGAGGGAGAAGTGCTGATCTCTGGTGACCAATGACAGGACTGGAGGAAATGGAATGAAGCTGTGTCAGGGAAAGTTCTGGCTGGACATTTTAGGAGAAGGTTCTTCAGGGAGATGGTAGTTGGCCACTGGAACAAGCTCCCCCAGGGAAGTGGTCATGGCACCAAGTCTGTCAGTTCAAGGGATGCCTGGGTGATGCTCTTATGGTTTAGTTTTAGGTAGTCCTGCAAGGAGCACGGAGTTGGACTCAATGATCCTTATGGGTCCCTTCCAACTTGAGATATCCTATGATTCTATGATCCAAAGGAGCACACTGTGGCTGAAGAAGGCTGGAATGTAGTAGACTTTGGCTTGTCTTCCTGTACAGCTGATGGCTGCTTCTAGCCACTGCAGAGAGGGTATTTAGGAGCTAGGAATTCTGCACTTGCAATTTGGCTTCCTTTTACCAGAGAAGTTTCTACCTAGGTTGCTCTAGCCTCGCTGTTTCAGGACTACAACAGGAAGGGACGTGGGAAGAAATCAGGTAGGAATTAAACTACCATCAACAAAGTCCTTCAATTTATTACCACCTTTAAAGTCAGATAAAGCCAAAAGCTTATGCAGTAGTTTTAACTGGGGATCTTGAAAACAATCACACGTGGTGCACATTTTATTATTACTAATAGTAAAGACATGTATCTTCTGTGGTGACACACCTCAATTGTCTAAACAAATTTCTTCTTGGGAACATGTATCAATGACATGAAGTAGGACACACGCCACAGTGCCACCCACTGCACTCAGTGTAAACAGTTAGATGGTCAAAACTGGTTTTATTTACGAAGTTTTTCATGCAGGACAACTGACTTTTTCTTCTAAAATTATATAAAATATTTTTAAGAAAATGATGACATCGCATATTTCTATGAACAGCAACGAAAGAGGAGGAAGAATATTAAAAAGCTTCAATAAAACCAGCAAATAGTTGAACTGAGGTAAAATTAAAAACAACCAACCCTTGTCACTGATTATAGGGCTACAAAGCAGTTCAAATGTCCAAGCCAAGAACTGATACCCGCAAAAGAGCCAACCATTATTCCTTGATATTTTGAAGTAGCTTTAATAAATGAGACTCAATAACCTGTTGAACTAAAGCAGAGAAAAAGATCAAGTTAATCAGTGTTCAATGTTTTTTCACATGTTTAGGGCTGTACTATTTTTTCCTGTTAGATGCCAGCTTGTCCTGTACAATCATTTAATAAAAACCAAACAGGAACAAACTCACTGTGGGAAGAGTTTGCATCCCTACAGAAAATAAAAGCCTCATATAATGCAAAACCAATACATCCAGTAAGATAGATGATGGGTTTCTGAAGTGATGATCTGTTCTCTAGTTTGAACAGGCTGATGGCATATGGAAAATAAATTTTTAAGCCTATAAATGGAAAGTAGGCAAAAATATTTATTAAAAACTACTTCTGTAGAATGTTTTGAGACTGAACTCTTGAAGTAGTCCTATATCTATACATTAATAGTTACTGCCACCCCATAAGCACAGGGATCTGCTTGGAGAAGCTACGCATGCAGTGCTGGGCTTATTTCAGGATGCAGTTAATTTCCGTAATGACGGGCATTTCACAGCTTTCAAAATGAGGGCAGCATGAAGGAAAACCAATGAAGAGTGCCTTCTTTGCCTCTTTTTTCTAAAACAAGTTAGGTCGCCTAATTCACTGATCCTGGCTGTCACTGTTTGGATCCAAGACAAACTAGAGCTAGTCTGACAGAGAAAGAAGGTTTTGCAAATTACATCACATCATGCCAACCAACAAAGTGCCAGGGTGAGCAGGTCAGGAGGGCTGCAGGTCTCTTATCACTGTCTGGTGCAACACACAACCTCTTGTACAGGGTGGGGGAGCAGCTTAGGGCTGCGTCAGCCCTGCACACCATTATCTGTGCCCACAGATGCAGGTCCAGGTCAGTGATGTCTTCTTACTAGGTACTTGGCTTTCTGAGACAGGGACAGAAATTCCTACCCATTTTGAGCTGATACATTTAGGTGTAATAAGACTTGTAGGACAGGGATTTTCTAACAGCTGCAAAACCTTTGTTAGACCATTAGAGCAGCTACATAAACAAGGAACAGTAAAAATCAAAATCAAAGAATTTACATTTGCAGTAACTCACCACTCCGATAGCCCAAGGCTACAGCCAAATCCATGGAATTACAGCCAGCATCTGTTTCGATAGTTGGATCAGCACCACTTTCTGTGTAAAACAGGAAAAGAAACTCATACTTCTGACAATGAAGTATTATTATTGATAATAAAGCTGTGACAGTCTGCTTACCGAGGAGAATTTTTACACATTTCACATGGTTCCCATGTACTGCATATAGTAGAGGTGTGCCTCCATTCTGCAAATGCAAAAAAAAGCCTTAGAAACTTAACGATTGAGCAGTCTGCAACTGTAATACATACCAGTATACCTCTATGTATCAGTAAGAGACTTAATAGGTTTTATAAAAATGAGATTCTGTTTTGGAACTTCTGTTGTTTGTTTTTTTTTTCTCTACTGTTTAGACTGCAAGCTCGCCCTCCTAGAATGGCTCAGCATTAGTGTCATTCTCTTTTTGCCAACAAGTCAGAATTAGTTGGGTCAACTTCTCTTACCCTATGGAAGTTTTGAAACTCAGGTATTTTATAAGAGGTAGAATAATTTTACACCCTAGTCCAAATTTCTGACTAAAGCACCCTCTGACATAAATTCGAGCTAGAGTCTTACCCAGTCATACTCATTGACATCAACTCCACAGTCAAGCAGCATTTTGACAATATCTGTGTATCCTTTACTGCAAGCCAATGAGAGGGCACTTTCTCGTCCCTTCCCCAAAATCTGAGGATCTGCACCCTGCAATTACAATAATAGCAACAGCAACAACAAATCAAACTAACCATGCTTTTTTTAAAGTGAGGTTTTACACAGAACTTAACTTTAAAACTTTTAAGTGTATAGCAGCACTGAAAAAAATCAGAAGGTAAACTGAACTAAAAGTAAATGAATTTAAAATGAGGTGTGTTTATTTCCTTACATTTTGGAGGAGAAATTCCACTACTGCTATCTGCCCATGAGCTGCAGCCCACATCAGAGGGGTAAATCCTTCTTCATCCTTATGATTGATTACATTTTCTGTTTAAAGATAAATATGCAACTTAGTTATCCCTTTCACTAATGCATGGTATAAGCTGGTGAAATGCATTGATGTATCCATGGTGAATGGACTGAGGTATCAGTGTGGCCTAAAAGTCATTCTTACCTTAACTTTAAAAACAAAATTCTATTGCAATGGTGGTGCAAATATCTTTGTCCAAGAAAGAAAAAACATTCAACTGAGCAAAGCAAAATTTAAGAATTGGGTTTATTAATTTTTTTAAGCTCTATAAATCAAGCTCTGTTTCTACTCAGAAATATTACAAGTTGTCAGTAATCTGGGCTTTATCTTTGGAAAGAAGGGAAGGGCTGTTTGAAAAATAAAGAGGGACAATCTGTATTATACTGCAGAAAGCATTGTGGGTTTTTTAGTTTTTTTGTTTCAAAAAAGTAAGCCACAAAATCTTATAAAGAATTATCTTGTAAAGCCATATAGATAGTATACCTCCATTCACCCCAGAGTTCATGTAATCAATAGGGTGTTTTGTGGAAACAATTAAGGTCTACTTCTAGTGCAGCTGGAAGAAGGAAAAAGAAGATGTTTTAACATTTGGCTGGCTGAAATAGTTGAGTTGGAATTTGTAAAAAATATTTAAGTACTCAAAAAATCCCATAGTTATCAAAGCACTAGAGTATGCATTTTTAACTGACACTCCAAAATTAATTTGTTTGCCACATATATTGCAAAGTATATAGACTGAGAGACTCATTACCTGCTTTCCAGTAAACATTTCAACAAAGATGCACTGAAAGCATGGCTGATTACTAACAGTACAATAAAAATATACTATTAACATTATATTTTCCTATACTATTAATAGTTTATTACTCAATTTGATGTGCTATGTATTATGGACACACAAATGTCACACTGAAGACTATCACGCAACTGAGACTGACCACCACTATTACATTGTGGGTGTGAGCCCTGGTTTAAATTACCAACATACAGCTCTATAAATTGACTGATTAAATAGAATTGGAAAGCCACCACTGTTTTAAATTACAAAGATGATAACGATTAAAAAATAACAACTCCTATTTCTGATAGAACAGATTCTCCCTACTCATTTCTATGGATTACATATATAGCAGGGGAAACAGGAGAAGGAAGGGATTTACCTACAACTCCTATTAATGCTAATGTTTCACTTAAAACCCAAATCATAGGAATTAGTGAATAAAAGACTGATGTGAAACAAAAGTCCATACCTGCAAAGAATAGATAGGTGAAATATCTTTCAATTTGTTCCAGAATTGAGGATTTTTTTTTTTGTTACGGTTTTTGGGGAAAAGTCAAGCTCAATAGGGTATGAATGCCCCAAAGAAAAAAGGAAGAGATTCACTCTCCTTCCGTCTCACCTTGTTCAATACGCGTGGCCAGATATAACATTTCTCCCTGAGCAGCCAGCTGATGAACTGATAAAGCTGAAAAAAGGAAGCAAAAGCATGTGTCACACATACCAATTTTCATTCTGCTCTATTTGGAATTTTGCTTGAGCAGTACAAAACATGGATTTGAGAACGTAGATAGGTTTCACATTATACTCTGAACTAGAACCACTATCTTAAAAAGCTTCCAAAACGTTTCACAGGTTTCAGTAATTTTTTAACCAATGTAGAAATTGTACTAAAAAGCAGAAGATACTTCCTACACTGACTTTTTACAAGGTAACATGCTATCTGCTGCTTGGCCAGCAATCCAAGATCATATTAAGAACATTTATCAAATGAAAATAAGCATCTTTTGATAAATTGAGGTTGTGTAGTTCTAAAATGACATCTAAGAGGGCACATGCCAGTGGATTTGTCATGCTGCTCAGTGAGCCTGTGACATAACTCTCACTCACGACAATGTGGAATAGATCAGGCATTACAAAACTATTACAAAACATGACATCTACATCTACAGGGGGAAAGAAAGATTGTGGGTAGTTTTGTTTGTTTGTTTTAAACTTATCAAAGTTGGTCTTCAATACCAAGAGGTTGGAAAGGTGGTCAGGAGGGAATATATAATAAATTATCCACATTGTATAACAACAAAATTAACTAACAATACATAATACATATCGTTCACTGTCCTTCTCCTATTCACTACATGAAAGCTTTATTTTTTTCAGAAAGACTGTGTATTTTGTTCACGGCCTACATTGCAGCTCCAAATTAATTTTTCCAATGCAAGCAGCCTTTTTTTTTTTTTTAATATTGAACTTATATTCTATAGATGAAATAATTCATAAATTAATTACATAGAATTAATTTATAAAGAAAATACTTACCAATTAAGAATAAGAAAATCCCATAAATAGTACTGCCTTTCAAAATATGTGGCAATCATGACATTTGCAGTAGCAGTTTGTAGCATTTACCAATCATCTAATTTTAATAAATTTTATAAGATGCACAGGTGCTGAAAACAAGTACAAGAAGCACACTGACTTAAAGCTTAGAAAGGATCAGAAAAATCTTTACCTATTTTTTTTTAATTAAGAATTGGATCCTTTCTGGAAAATACACTTCAGACATTAATTCAAAACAGCAGGTGGATTACTATTTCACAGTTGGAACCATGTGAAATTAGACAAGACTACCTCAATGTTTTCTTCTTACATAAAAGTTTATTAAAACACCAAAGGAAAAAAATGGAAAGATCTGTCAGCTGTCTAACAAACAGTTCACAAAATAATTAAGAGTAAGGCAGGATACTTACAGTTTACAAGAAGAGGTGTTGTAGAGACTTCATTTCCCCTGTGTTTGTTAGTTAAGGTAGTTGATTGTTTTATTGGTGAGAAATGCTTAGTAGTTGATGGAGTATAAACATGTCTTACTTGGATACCAGGGGAAGGAGAAGTGTGGCTGTTGCATTCAGCTACAACGGACAGAGAAAACAGACAGGATTTCAGAACTAGTAAGAGCATTAAAAGCAAGACACAGATTTTAAGTCAAACTAGAAGGCACCAGTGTCACAAGAACTCTAAAACCCATGTTAAGTAAGCTTTGTGACATGTGCTTTTCCACTGTGTATTGTCATAATTAAATAAACAGCTGTATTCATTTCTAGCATAAAACAAAGCTGCTACCCCACATGTTCAGTATTCAGCACGGCATAATGTCACACAGATACAAACTGGGTGTATAAACGAGGTTAAGCCTTCATCTAGATTTTCAACAATGCCTGGCATGGATTTATCAGGTAGGAGAGCCCCACATAGTCTACCACATCCTTATTAATGCTCTCCAGTGCAATAACATGATGAAGCTTCAGTCAGCCATGCGGTCAGGTAACTGCTCAGATTACCCTTTTGCCTTCTCCCCAAGACTACCTTCACCAATTTTCTTCACCAGGACTTTTTACATGCCTGCTGGATAAATCTGTGACTGCATTATGAATGCCTTATTAATACTTAATCAGCAGGAAGAGAGAGATTCCACAGTAACTTCCATTAAGTGCAACAGCAAGTCATCACTTAGAATGCAAGAAGTCATTCAGTGCTGCTGTGTTCATCTGTACTAACTTTCATAACTTTCCATTAGAATCTAATGCCATTTTATTACAGAATATGTATGTTATCTTGGCTTCTAATTCTCAAAAGTAACTATTAGCTTTGAGAAGTACCTGAGGAGAAGCCAAGTGACTTTTAAGAAGCCAGTTGATTAAATACCAGAAATACATATTGAAGGATTAAACTCCATTACTGGATAAATGGACTTGACACCAGTGTGCACTAGTAATTAATGACTGGAAAGTAATCAATAGGCACACTGAATCCATACCATAGAGAAACTCACAATCATAAACCCAAGTGCAAATTCAGGGAGAGAACCAATTACAAGCAGAGGGTAACTGGATGAAAATGAAATTACATTTTGTTTGCTAATCAAATTGCTACAGCTGACTTGATCAAACTAAGAGACCTACCAGGGATTTTTGACCTGTAGTACCTGGATCTGCAGGACTACTTCTAAGGGGTTCACAAATATTACCTAAGAAAAACCACCCTACTGCTGATGGGTCTAAATGTGCCGTTCAGGTCTGCAGCTCCACTAGTAAGCACTTAGGGCCTGCAAATCAAAAAAGTTTGAAAATTACAATGGCTACAATGAACTGCAGCCAACAATACAAATCAGAGAAACCATCAAAATTGACAATAGGCCTGTGTTTTCATGTGTTGTAGAAAATGGGTCAAACCGAACCTCATGAAAAGATACGTCACTAAGAGTCTAAAATATGTCGACAAGCACTGGAAATCACAATAGTTAAGGAGAAACAGATGGAAATCCAAATTCTGTTCTCTATGAACATGTTCAGTCATGAAAAAGCATGGATCACTTCTGATGAAGCTGAGCAGCAATGGCTGGAGATCCAGATGCAGGGATCCAGAACTGGAGCAACATTCACTTTCAAGTAGTGTGAAGCTGCACTGGCAGGCCAATCACTGCATCAACTGCAGGCTTTGTACAGCCATATCAATAAAATAAAGTCAATGGCACGAGTTATGCTATTTTGTCTTTAGTGCTACTGAAATGATAAAACATGCTGCAGGAAGCTACTGAAGTTGAAATGATCATATAGTGCTTTCAGTAGTGTTTTGCAGATACATATATTCAACAACATGTAGCATGTGGTAGAACATGATACACAAAAGAAGTAAACTTGTTTTCATAACCAGCATCAGCTCTTATTAAATTAAATCAGAGACTTTTTGTGCCACTGCTTTTTCAATTAAAAAAAACTCAACAAGCCAATAACTAAGAATGTTCTAAAAATAATACGGAGGAAATAATTTTACAATAATAATTCATTAAGTATATAATAAAAATAGTAGGGGAAGAAATTCTAGACAACTATTACTGATTAACACATGTATGAGGCAGAGGCTTTTTGCTGTTAAAACAGCAGTTTAACAGGATGACACAGTCCACACACACCAATTTGTATCATAAATTTCAACCTTTAAATAAGACAGATGCCACTTCAAGGTCAGAGTTAACTTGGTCTTGAATATTTTTACTGTCCTCCTCATTCAAAGATTTCACAAATCGCGAGCAGACATTCATATCAAATCTATTGGGCAAAATGAATTTCATCCCCATGGTGACACTCTGAGCTGGGCCTTCCTCTGTGCTAGCGTCAAGCTGATGCTCCACTTTGATGTCTGGCATGGGCGGAAGGCTGTAGCTAGTGGTACATTCTTCCACAATTAACTGGGCTGCAACGTCTAAGTTTGTTGAAGATGCCATGGTCTCAGTCATGTCAAAGTTTTATGCAAGAAGTTTCTTCATAACTTCTAGCCACGAGCAGTTCCAGCCAACGAAGCTGTATCTAAATCTGGATCTGGATGTCTAAATAACCTGAAACTGTACACATTTAACATAGGTTAACAACATTCTGGTGAAGCAATACATAACAATACACCAAGCTTGGCTTCTCTGAGGCTTATGGCATTTGGTTCTGATAGTTGAAACCTTGCTGAAATATCAGCGTTACTACTATCACAAGCAGTATGGGTTGTGGGTATGGGTTTAAATGGAGGGGACCAAATCATCCATTCAGATTTTGTCATGGGGATATTTAAGCCAAAGTCCATAACGAAGCCACCAGGAGCTCCATCTAATCAATGTTTCATAGGATAGACCGGTTGCAACAAAAAAACCACAGCACAACCAACCACGTTTACCCCAAGACAGGAGAAGATGACTTTATCTCCTAAAAATATTAGACTTGAAGGAATATTTACAGTGACCTTATGCCCTTTTACAACTCGTCTTTTCACAACCTGATTAAAACAAATGGTTTTTACCCTTCGCGTAACCAAACAACAACTCCATTTATGTCGGTGACAGCAGAACACCCTAGTTCACCCTGACAGCACCGCGGGCAGCCTAACGCCACGCCGGGCTCCGCGGCCTGGCAGCCTCAGGCCCTCCTGCAGCCCGCCCTCTCCCCTTAACGCAGGCC